AAACTCTTGACGGGTCCTGGCACTCGTGGTCCCTTTACCTGCACTGTAGGTGAGATGTGCCACTCTGTGCAGCTTTCAGCTCGCCCATCTGACCTTACACTGGTGAGCTCAAGGACAAGAAAAGCAACCCTATACTTCATGCATTGTGCCTGCTGCAAGAGTGAATAGGTTTTGCAGGCATCCTGAAGTCAGAATGAGTACGTACGTGTGACAATCAGAATGGAAAAAGAACATTAAATTATCTCCTAGCTTAATTCTATTCCAGCRTTCCTATAATGAACTGATCCATGATGTTAGATGCTGGAGCAGCAACAAATAAAGTGGATGCTGCTGCTTGCAGATGCTTTTCTGATGATTATTTTTTTCTGAAGACTCCTATCAGCACTGATAAAGACCAGCTGGCACTAACTATACCAAAACTAATCAAATATCATCAACCAGCTAGATTTTTCTGGGAAAGTCAGTACTGGAAGTCTTTTACTCAATAACTGGTGTATAGCAGTTTTTATTATGAGTTAATGTTCTGAATAATATCTTCATGGTTCACAGTTATTTCTTATTTTAGCCTATASCAAATTTCTTCTCAAAAGAAAATAATTAAGTGCATTACACTTAGGTATATACAGCATGAGCATTTTTAGATAAYGTCGAGAGTCTGCTAAGCAAACTASACCACATTACATAGTATATATACAATATAAAATTATATTTACCAGGTGGCACTTAAAGGATACAGCAGATTTCCTTTACTTAGTCTCCTGTATAAATATATTTTAACATCTGCATTAAAATCAACTCCCTGCCCCACCCATACTTGTAAGCACTCCCTTTCATATCATTTTGTCCTTAGAAGAATATTAAGAAAACACATTACAGAAGTTAGTAAGGTTACTCAATGCATGCCTGGAAAAAAACTAAAGTAAAAGACCAGGACCTGTTCAGTTCCTTTCACCTAGGAATGCTTTCATCCTAATGAAGATAAATACAAATGTATTAATTAACTGAGTTCTTTTGGCTCTGCATAGTTACTTACTGAGTTATTGTAGGGAGAAGAATCATAAAAATGGCAAAGACCAGAAGCCTTAGAAAAATAATTATATCCCAGTGTTACTTTGATATATCAGTTTTTGTCCTACCTACCATTTTCCCATGATTGTAACTAAAAACACTTTCTAATATCACTGGTCTGAAGTGACCTAGGCAGCTGATTCTGTTTACATTACAGTGTGGAAAAMAAGCCTGGATCTCCCCTTTGCTGTACAAAAATCACCATTATTAGAGTAAATAGCATATAGTGATAAAATTGTGTTTTCCCATGCAGAAATGTGTCTCCAACTTGAGTTTGAACTGAGAAATAAAATGAGTTCTCTTTGCATCCCTAATTTACCTCTAGCATAAATCTAGAAAGATGGATTTGAAACATTAAGATCAGGATTTATTCTGCCATTTTTCAGAGTGGAAATCATCCTTTRCAATTGTATTTACAACCATAGCATGGCACTTTTAGCTCCTGGTTTGTTCTTTACAGATCTGAAGGCAAACACATTCATCTTTACATYATTACCTACAGCTAACAGAAGAAGCCTATGTTACTTGTGCACTTTCAGAAATAAATCACTTTCTATGATTCCTTATACAGAAAGAAATCTATAATCTCAGCGCCATAGATTAACCTCAGCCTCGGCAACGAGGTCTTTATGTTAAACTAGGGCATCATGGGCTTATTCAGATATTCTACCAGGTTTGTTTGGACCAGAAAATTAGAGTAGGAACGAAAGAAAGGTTTGAGCTTTGATGTTATTTTGAATATTTTATGTTGCTTTATTAAGCGGTGAAGTATCACTTTATGAAAATAATTATACTTGTATGTAAACCTAAGCTATGTATGTAATGAATAGTTAATTTAGCTTTCAGGTAAAATAAATAGACATAAGTCTCCATATTTTAGGTATTTATTACAACATGTTTGCGTAATTCAAACATACAATAATAATGAAAATGAGAATTCTGAATTTGTTCATACACATCTGTACAGAATTTGAAAACTCACTTTCCTGAGTTGCGGCTGCTAGCTAACAAATCAAACAGCACAAACCTGCAAATACCACTRGGTCAGATTTCTTGTTAACTGTCCTTTCAGTAAAAGCTGCTGACTTTCTGATGTCTTCAGAGYTGTCAAAAGACATTATCACAAAGCAAGCTTAGGCTTTGTAACACTTTTTGTCTATAAAGAATCAGAGAGGAAGCTTTATGCCTACGGCCTCAAACGAAAGCATGCAGCAATTGCAAACATTTATCTTACTCAAAGCTGTAATGGGATAAATAAAGGTTTGGGGCACATGGGAAAAAAAAGAAAAGATGTAATCTACAGTATTCCCAGCAAATTTATTGTAAATGAAATTCTTTCCTAGTCTTGSACACCTCAGTAGTAATAACCTGTCATTTTAGAAACACACACACATATGAACACCAAGTATGCAGCTGCACTTAAACAGATATAAGGGAGAGCACAGAAAGCACAGGTACATTCCCGCAGAGCCAGAATTGTTGATTTTACCCTTGAAAAATCAAAATGGAAAGAGTACACACGCCAGCACACATGCATAGCATACACACGGAAATGCAGTCTTAAAGCATACTTCTTACTAACAGTATTTCAGTTGCATAAAACTCTTYTATATACATAAATCTTCTACGTACCTGCTTATGGACATTGGTTAGGTCCAAATCATAGGCCAGTTATATGTCAGTGGTAATGGAGATGCCCAGGATTTCATCGTTGAGCTTTTACAGCAGCGATATACATTACAGTGATACATATACATTGATACACATTAAAAGAACCATATCTCATTCCCCTGCTCTTTGCACTCTCCAGCAAAGCTGTCTCAGAATTTGCCTTTGCTCAGTCTCAGCCCAAACCCTGGGAGACCTTTGGATCCACAGCACCTACCACAGAGCACCAAGTGCTCACGAAACCCCGTCAGGGGAACCAGCATCAGGGCCCTGGCTGCTGTGCGGCGTAAAGGCTCTTCTCAGCAGGACCCTTAAAGAAAGCAGCCTCTGTGCTGCAGGTGTGGGCCTGACTGCAGGAGAGGTTCTTGTGGTCAACATCTGAGCCCTAAAGGCATTAAATTACTGAAGAAATGTTTGAAAACAATTTAAGTATGGAAACTGCTGCTAAAGGACATACAAAATAATTTATGATGAATCTCTAATAACCTTTTTTTTTTTTTCAATTTAAAAGGGCCTAGACAGAACTTAGTATTCAGCAACCCAAGTATCAGAGGAAGACAAAAATGAAACGTATTTAACTATTTTGTCCTAGAAGAATAAGTAATTTCAAAATGGGTCAAAACAATGATTTTTGACCAGTGTGAATCAGGACAATTGTACATACTTCTCAGAGGAAACTGAGAAAAAATTAAAAAATTAATCCTAATAAGGGCTTACACTTTCAGAAAAGATCTTGATCAATCTAACCCACTCTATTTGAAAAAGAAGTTAATTCATAATATTTCAAATGTGCCAAGAAAATTAAGATGATAATAGTTTCTGGAACTTTTGAGACTCTTAGGGGTTTTAGAAGCTGTAATAAGTTAAGACAGACATTCTGCACTACCACGGGCATTGTTAGGTACACTGAGAACAAGTGTCCATTTACACAGGAATTAAAGAATATGCCTATAGTCGCGCAATAGTGTAGGTCAGATACAACCAGTAAYTGAAGCAAGCCTGGAGTCCCCTTTAGTCAGTATTTGGATTTTCTTAGATATAACACGTCAGAGCCGCTGCTGCTATTGACTTATTTTTTGGTTTAATGAGAATAAATTAACGTGATGCTCATGGATGCYGTCTAGGGCACAGATTTGACAGAGATGCTCCTGCTATTTATTCTTTCTTCCCCTCGTATTCCGTCTGTGGGAATCACTGCCTGCGCAGATACCATCTGTGCTTTGTGCTCYGGTGCCAGAACGGGGCACTTCCGAATGGAAAACACAGGCAGCAGTGTCAGAATTCCCTGAATGACACAATTCCGGGCCAATGGCAATACAGCTAGTAAAACATGGGAATTAAACCAATTTTTAGACCCCCCTCCGCCCCCCAAACATGCTATTCAAAATAGTTTGGGTTTGAGTCTTTGGACTGAAACCTTTTCTCCTCTAAACCTTTAGCACCTTTTCAGTGTGTTGACACCTGGGAATTAAAGATAAGCACCTGCAAGCTTGCAAAGCCGGTGAGTTCTTGTTGGGCTCATTATTTATCACGATTCCCACCGGAAACATTTATTTCCAGAGGGCCAATGCGGAAGCGTGGATTTCCACCRGCAAGCTGGCAAGTGAGGCATTGCCTTTAAGCTGGACCTGTTCTTACCACTGGCTATTCCCACTAATGTCACTTCCAAATTACCGTTACGATTACCAATAACCATTTTTAACTCCGCACCATTTTGGAGGGCCTAAGATTTACCCACGCATTTTTGCAGCTCACCCCGGCGACATTTCCGCCTGCCTGCAAGGCGTCCTGACCGAAGCAAACAGTTTCTTACGGCAGGGAAACACGAAGCTCCCACCGGGACGAGCCGCCCCGCCCCGCCCCGCGCGCGCTCCCGCGGCCCCGCGCGCGCTCCCGCGGCCCCGCGCGCGCTCCCGCGGCCCCGCGCGCGCTCCCGCGGCCCCGCGCCGCGGCACTCGAGGCCCCCGGCGGCGCCGGGCGCGCGCGCGCGGCCGCGGCCGCTCCGAGCGCTCCGGGCGGGGCCGGCGAGTGACGTGGCGGCGTAAACAGCGCGGCGGGTAACGGCGCCGCCAACGGCCGCCGCCGGGAGCGGAGGCAGCCGCGCTCGGCGGCCCCTGCGCGGCCTCGCGGCGGGGCCGCTGCCGCGGAGCTCGAGCGGCGGCGAAGATGGCGACGCCGGGCATGAGCTGGCAGCAGCAGCACGGCTACGGCGGCGGCGGCGGCGGCGCGGCGCCCGGCGCCGCCAAGTTCCCCGCGGCCTCTGGCCCCGCGGCGCCGGGCGCCGAGCACAGCGCCGACCTGCACTTCAAAATGAGCAAGAAGATCGCCCAGCTCACCAAGGTAGGGAGCGCGCGGCCCGCCGCCGCCCCGCGCCGCCCGCCTTCCCTTGGGTCCCTCGGCAGAGGGGGAGACGCTCCTTCCCGCTGCTCGTCCTCCCCCAGCCCCAGCAGAACGAGCCCCGCTTAGGAAGGGCTGCGGGTTTTTGAGGCCTCTCCCTCGGCGGGTGAGGTGCGTGCCCCGCGGGCCGCCTCGCGAGTGGGTCCCGCGCGCGCGGCGCGGGAGGCGCAGCGCGGCCTGGCGGCGCYCGGGCGCCCGGCCGGCGCGGGAAGCCGCGGAGCAGAGCCTGCCACGGGAGRGGCAAACCTGCCCCCGAGGCGCCCCGGTGTCGCCGCCTGCCTGGCGGAGTTCGCTCCTTCCTAGGCAGGAACCCTCGTAGCCAGAACGCCTTGTTCATGGCCTGGTGCTTGCTCTTTGTTTTATGAAAAATATATATATTTTTCTGCCTTATTAATAAACCTTCTTTATGGAGTTTTTTTTTTTTTAGAATACAGACATTCAAGTGATGTTTCCTTTTGCTGAGTTCTACTCTCTTTTTTTGTTTATTTTTAACGTAAGGATGTCTGAAATGCCTTAATTCCACAGATGGTGGGGTAATGTGCAAGAATACCTTTGGCCTTGTCATGCTGATTTAACAGTTCTTAGGATGTCATTTCCAGTGTAGAAAATATATTGACCCTTTGTTTAAGGCTGGGATCAAGTTGCAGTGTGTTTTAAAAGTGTATTGGCAAGGGTAGCAGGTTCCAAGTTTCCAACTCAATGGTAGCTAAGCTATCAGTACCAACCTAGTATCAGTTACTTATCAGAATAAATTTAAATGATTGTTTTGGTCCTGCAATATTTATTGTATGATGCTCAAGTCATACAGGACTAGTTTTGTGTAGGAATGAAGGGCAGATAATCTTTGTCTAGAGGTAAAAGAGAAAAAGTACATTAACAATTATATAGCTAAGGCATTTTAAAGATACTTTAAAAGCCCTGAGGGAGAGATGTCTGGCCTTCTCCACATGTAGACTAAATTGGATGAAGGTGACATTTCGTTGGAAGTAAGAATGAAGAGGATGAAAGCTGGTGGCAGCCTCCCGTTGCAGACATAGTTCATATTTATGCACATCTGAAGCAGAGCTGATTTAAGTAACTATTTATCATGAAACATGGTGTGTAACCTCTGTTGGAAAAATGATCACTTCAGCAAGCAGAGGGGTGTTGGTCATTTTTATTTTGTTTATTTTTTTCAGTTAAACTGAACTGAAATGCTATAAGGGGAAAACAAAAATAAAGCAGCTGAAGAATCACTTTGGCCAAAGTTAATACCTAAAAAGACTGATTATTGCTTGTGCATCCTTTGCTGTCTTTCCCTTTCTTTCTGCAGAACCTTACCTAGCAGATTAGTAGTGGAGCTCAGAACTTTGAGATTTTTGTTGTGATATTACATGTGCTTTACCCATGAGTTACAGGACACATGTCCCGTGATGTGTKTTTTGGTTTTTGTTCCATTCCTCTCCTCTCCCTTTAAACTCTTTTATGCTTCATGATGCTATTCTTCTAAGATTCTGAAAGTTGTGTGCACATGTCTTCTGCCAAGGATTTCAAAACATTTTGCAAATAAAAGCTAGGAATTGTTTTCAGATTGTGCAGTTAAGATAACTGCAAGTTAGTTGTGACTCTACTGGGTTTTTACATGTGAATTAGGCCTTTGCAAGACTGGAATTTTGTGTTTGCTTGCTGGTGACTTGCGTGTTTTTGTGATATTTTACTTTGTGTTTTCTGATTTTTTTTTTTTTCGCCCTCAGGCACCAAGTTGTAGGCAGAAAGTTTGAGAATTTAACCGAGTTTTGTGGTGAACTGAAGTTGTAAACAGAAAAGCAATGTTTTTAGAATTGAAACAAGCGATACAATAAAAATAACCCTTTTGCATATTAGTCAGCAATAATTTTTTTTCTATCTTAATCTTTAATATCTGATTCTATTGTATAACTTCATTGAGAGAATMAAATTTTGACATTTTCATAGTTGAAAGTCTTGGGCCACACAGTCCTGGTCTTGAAAGTGGCCTAACTTGAAAGCTGGTACCTGTGAAGATATTTGGCCCAAATCCTGATCTGTATGTAGAACTTCTCCCGAATAATCTAGGAGCTTCTTTGGAATGTAGTTTTCAAATTGTGTAATATCCCTTATATAAAACACTTCTCAAAACCCTTTTGTCTTCCAACTTTTCTTTAAAGCTGTCATATTAAGTTAAAGTTAGGTGCTTTATCAGATCAAAACAATTTCCCCAATATAATATACTAAAAAGAAAACTAAATATACATAGGGCACTGAGAAAGGAATACATATAGGAAAGCTATCCAGGGCACATCCTCTGGCAAAAGAAATGTGACTTAGTAGTTTATATTTTCTTRTCGTTGTACAGTGTTTACCACAAACTAGCAGCAGAAAAAAAAATGTTTTCCTCACAGGAGGTAACTCCTGAAGTAATGCTAATTTCTATCATGTTTTAAGTCACCTTGAGAGAATGTGATTCAGTCAAAACAATGCAGGAACACAAGGAAAGGGGCAAGGTTTCTTTAATAATTTGATTTAATCAGTAATTCGGAGTCAGGCAAAATAAGAGGGAAGTTCATTTCACTAAGCACAAAATTTCAGGAATGCTTGATTACAGTTTATTTTTCTGTTGCATCGGAGAAAAATAAACTTGCTCAATTTAACTTTAATATACTTAATTCACAGGAGGGGAAGTATGACAAGTCAGTAGTTAAGAAATACAGTTTTTAAAACTACAAGGATGCTCCATGTAATGTTGAAAGATTGTGATAAATTGTAGCTGAAGAGATTTCGACTCTTCCTCTTTAGTATAAGCTCCTTATTTTTAGGCATTTCAGAAGATCTGTGTACCAGTTTGGGGATGAAGTAGCATCTGACATCAAGATTAAAGCCAACAAAAAATAAGCTGTGGTTATGAGATTGCATATATATGTTTGTATTACTGCATACTGGAGTGCTAATGCAGTGTTGAATTATGCCTACTGCAGATGAAAATATGCATATATATTTTATTTAAGGCAGCTGGAGTAGCAAACAAACAGGTTGCTGCTATGCATATATCCATAGAGGAGAATGAGATCTGCTTTTACAGTTGTCAGAAGAATACAAGTRTAAATTGCTTTTTTGACATATCCTCTTTATGCTATTGTCTGTGACTTGAGCATTTGTGATTGAGAAATTCATATTCTAAAGGTACTTCAAGGTTGTTGTGCAAATTGTGTCTCATAAACACACATCTTTGTGGAACTGGAAGCCACGCTGGGACTGGTCTCTCAGAACTTTTAGCTGCAAGGTGGTAATTGTAGAAATGATACAGTAGCTGATAGTGAAGTCTGTAAGGTCCATAGGGTAAATATATATCTTAAAATTATAGGTTCTGTTAGACTGATCCATTAGGTAAATGCTCTCTATACTCAGGTGATGTTTTCCCTTAGTAATGTGCTCAGTGGTTTTCTTTCTGTCGTCTTGGCTTTGAGAGAAGTTCTTGGGGAACAAACTTCAATGTAGTAATGGTGAGCTGTCTTTGGGATGCAGACAGTAAATTTCTTTCAAAGAACACATAGCAAGTTTGATAATCCTTATGCTTGCTGCTTCTAATATGCTGGTATTTTTGCTGGACTTGATTAAAACTATCAGCGAATGCGGTTASAATTCTTAACAGAATGTTATATTTCCAGTTCAACTTTATCTGTTTTTGTTTGAAAGTGTTTTGCTCCAAAATAGCTCAACTACCCTTTCATTGTGTGTAGGATTATTAGAGAACTAACAGAATAACCCTTAAAAAGAGAGATGAAATGAGAATTTAAGGAACCATTAAATGCGTTTAGACATTAGCCATAATCCTGCAGAACTGGTGCTGTTAAGAGTTCTGTATTTATTTATTTATTTATTTATTTATTTTCTTAAGCAACCTTATGTGATTACTCCAATGTGTGTTAACATTGGCAGTCGGCCAGTATTTGCTTATGTTTCTAGGATTGCATGAGAAGGTCTGAAATTTCACAGACGGTGTGATTTGAGCACATATTGGAATGTCAAGATTTTTGCATATATTTGTGAGTGATAAGATGGGGGGGGCGGAAACTATGTCTTGTTACTACATCTAGACTTGCAATTTTTCAAAGCGGTTTTGCAGACCTAGAAGACCTGAAAAAGTAGTATTACATGTAGAAGTTACTTATTCTTCACGTGCATGTTGGAGTGCTGCTTCTAATGATTATCACTGCATACCTATTAAGTGAGATTATGGGTATATAAACCTCAAATGGGTATGTATCAAAACTCAGGGTTGAATTAGGTCAGTGAATTTGCAGCTTTCTGTCACCAGGTGTCAAGCAGGAAGAAGAAATAGGTCTTCCTCTTAAACCCCTAGGTCCAGATTTCTGGTCCTTGGATGAAATTCTTTTTCTTTGTACGTGTGTTCTTAGTGGTTGACCAATGAGCCKAAGTTCTTCTGAGTTCACTGGCTATCCATCCTAGTACTCTAAAGATTTTAATTTTATTTTTTGTATGTGTGGAAGTGTGATATTGCTGAAACAGTGTCTAATTGCATATTCACATAACCTACTAGCCTAAAATGCTTCTTTAATATGTTTGGGCATTTATTGGCTTCTCTGGGATAGAAAAATGTGGTAACAAAGCCCCAGATGTTACAGCAGTTAGATGTTATTGCTTTCAGGTACTTCAGCAGTTATATCTGATAAATCACTACCTTAAGACTATTTAAAGAAAATGGATAAAATGGTTATTTTAGGATTTATAGTAAAAAATTCAATGTGAAGTTTAAAATTTGTGTAAGCTTTAGCTGGTTTTTCCCCCTATATGATGATAGGAATCCTATGACAAAAATACTCAAAATTTAGTTTTTATTTGAAAATAAAATTTTATTTTATTTTATTTGAAACAGACAATAATAGCAAGAGTCTTCTTTTCTAATGTAGTACTTGCCTAGAAAGTCT